GAATCTCAGCTTGCTACTCTAACTATGACTGAAAGGAGAGTCTTGGCCTCAATATCCAAAAACCCATTTCACATGATATACAGGAAGCCTCGAAATATTGGCTGTTACCCCCAGTGGCTAAGTTGTCATCCGGTGATTGCCAATCGAGTCCAAGATTGCGTGGAGTCAAGCTTCACCCTGTGGGTCAAACCATTTGATTTGTGTTGGAAATGACTTTTCCAAACCTCTCACTTCATCCTCGAATGTATCCGACTCAACCGGAATAACTCAGAACTTTCATGAACATACATGCACACTTCCATATATGATAGGGAGAAGGTGGTTTTCAGTGAGTCTGAGCCTATGGGAGCAGACACGTCATGACTCACTTCTGATGGAGCTGAAGTGTTGATGAATAAATGAATGGCTTCCTGGAGCTGGGATCTCACTCTCACTTTTCGCCCTGACTGGTAATTAATCCCCAGGATCCGCGCGTGCGTGCGTGACTGGCAGCGGTTTTGGATGTAAAAATATATCAATAAGAGCCCACACTGTGATCCGCCAATCACCGCTGTTGCACAGAGTCCTCACCTAGGGCATGATGACTAAGATGTCATGAGCTATCGCCCAAAGCGCAGCAATAAACGATCGAAACAAACACCCTCTTACAGCACTTTTGAATCTCTTCCCAGAGCCCTCATTCGGTTATTTTTCATCTGTTGCCTGGGTGTTAGAATCACAATAATCTGTCCACTTAAGAAGTTTCTACAAATCCACTCAAGTGCCTATGTTCCCATCAACAATGTAACTTTTATTTTATGTTCTCTGCTAAAATAACCCAAGAGTCCATCCATAATTTAAAACCCTGACGTATGTTTGAAGTGCCTTGACAAAGTGAAGTTTGCTTCAAGCGTCTGTGAAATGCCTCAAGTGCTACCACTGATTACCAAAAGGAGTTTCAGCATCATCAATTATAAAGTGTCTCCTCTCCTCTGAGGTAAAAAGGGCTGCAAGCTGGAAATCCTATGTTCTTGTTTCAGCAGTGAGGCATATGAGCGTGTTGAGGAAGGCTGTGTAGACTGGAGATGATTCATTCTGCCCAAACATGTGTTACAGATCTGTAGGTCTGGTGTACCAACAGAGGATTGTATTTAACCCAAAACAGATCTGTAAGTCTGCAGTAGTAGAAATGCTTTTATTAAACATGCACTGAATAAAGCCAAAGGGAGATATTAATTCAGGATATGCATGATAGAATAAGGAGAATCAACAAGATGCATGCATATACAGATGTTGGTAGGTTTTTAGTCTTGTTTCCAGTTGTAAAATCTTAATTTGACTACTTTTGGGCATGCTTTTGTTAAATTTGGAACAGCTTACCTTCCGTAGCCGGGGGCAGCACGCTGTCACACACCGATATGATGACAGAAAAAGCCTGAAGTGCTGCCAAAAACACAAACTTCAGACTCCAGCTCCCGGAATTCATGATGATGATGCCCGGCTGAAGCGTGGACGGGACTGGCCAAGTGTTTTCACTGCAGCGCAACCATCATACAACCCACAGTCCTCCAACAGCTGATTGTGCACGAGCCCCCCCACTGCAAACACACAAAAAAACACACTTCCTGAAATCTGATCGAGTAATTGAGCGGTGCCTTTAGGAAATCCCGACGACAGCTGATTCAGCTCCGTGCACTTTCCCCATTCAGAGGAGTCCGAGTCTGCGTCTGCATCACGCGTAAAAGTGAGCGGAAAGAAAGCGCGAGGAGTGAAAACATTAAGAAATTCACCAACCCTTGCTGGCTCTGTCGCCCACTGGAATGACACCAATTCCAGAGCAATTACAAAGGAAAAGTGTTGTCTTATGAGCAGGCACCATGTGCTTCAATGAAGAGCTCCGCTGGGTCCTAAAGCCGACCTCAGTGCCAATTAGAGCAAGAGTAGAAACTTGTCCAAAGCAAGCACGGTACACGTTCCGGTTTCAACCTTCCAAAATAAAAGAATATGAACTGCACTTTTAGGGGGGACTTGCACAAAAGTATTTCATCTTCCATCTCCATTCCATCAAGTATTTTATGTTTTAATTTTGGTCCTCATGGTCTCATTTTATGTTGTAAGGGTTCTTGTATTGTCTGGGTTTCTTATAACAAATAAAACTGGCCCTCAATTCGGAGGCTTTGTTTTTAACTGAGCTTTTGTTTTTCATTTGTTTTTATTTCCATGTGTTGATTTTTTACAACTGTTTGTCAAAGCACTTTGTAAACCTCTGTTTTTAAAAGTGCTATAAAAATAAATATATTAGTAGTAGTAGTAGTAGTAGTAGTATCTGACAATAAGAAAAGTCATTAAAGTGAGGTTTTGTTAGGAATTTCAGCCTTCAACCTCCCCTTTCAAAATAAATAACTTTAAAATGCAAATTTATTCTCAAAGCAAACAAAGAAAGCTATCTTACTTCGTCACAACGATCTGTAATATAAGGACAAAATAGTTTTGTCTTTTCGATTTTCTTTGTTTTTTGTTTTGTTTCGTTTTGTTTTGGTTGCTGTTTTTTGTATGTGTGTCACTTGGAAAATAACAATTTCTTGATATGATAGCTTTTGACTTTTAAATTGTAAAAAAAAAAAGACCCAAGTATGTCTTTAAATCCAGTTTTTCAAAGGTAATGTTCTCCTCTTGACTTGGACAGATTTGAACTCTCTTTGGGTTGTCACAGAACTTACCAAAATACTTGGCTCTGTCTCTTAAATGTGGATTTGCTGCTTTCTACAACTTGATTATTTCCCTTGACTAATTCATTTATACATAAGCGCCTTTTATGGACACTCAAGGACACTTTACAGAGTAAAAACAACAGGATAAAAGCAATGGAGAAAACAAAACAAAATAGGGTAAAAGAAGTATTTATATGTATGTATACATAAAACAAACACAAACATGACAAGGTAAATTATAAGGAGTGTGTTAATCTGAACAGATGGATTTTGAGTCTGGATTTGAAGAGAGGTTTATTTTTTTAAGCTTAACCGGAATATAAATAAGGATAATTAAGAATAAAATCATACAAAATTTTTGTTGTTGCATGTCAACTACCTAGCAGAAGTTTATTTTGACACTTCAACCATAATAAATTTGGCTTACAGGGTGTAGCATACAAAGATTTGTTCTGATCTTTTATTTTGAAATACAAAAATCTCACTTCCGGTATAGCCCCTTGCAGTTTTTTCAAATTTTATTCAAACTGCTCAGGGCGCTCACATAGCCTGCTACAGCATCCCACTCTGGGTGTAAATTTGAATAATGTAGCCTACACAGCCCTGACTCACAGATGTCTTAACATGTTGTTGTCCTGTCAGAGTAAATGAAAAACAAACCAAAACTGTGTGACTTAAAAATCAGACAATCTGTTTCACTTGAGACGTGCTTAACTTGGATACTGGTGTTGAACTCACTGGCAGCATTTCAGGGCAGAATATGTCATCGAGACACTCTGAGGCTGTACATGTACCTCCATATGGTCCCATTCAAAGGCCACGGCTCAACTCAATTATGCCCTGGATCAGTGTGTGGGCTTTTCGCTCTGCACAGCTCCACACAGCTCCACACACACACGCGTCCATCCACTTCAGAGGGGAATACAGGCAGATGTCTTCATGCAGCAGGCTGGGTTTCTGGAGGCTTTCTCTCTAGCTACAGAAGAGGAAAAAAATCAGCATTTCAAGTACAGCATACTCCGAGTATAAAGCCTTAAGGTCAGGGCAGCACATCCAATCATATTCTTGCACTGTTTAAAATATACAGCGTATGTAGGGTGCAGCCTTGTGTCAAGATGCTTAGAAAATCCCTACCACTCAAAACTCTTTTCCATGGATCAAATATGAATGCAAACAAAAGGGGTATTTCTCTGCATGCTGATTTTGCAGGAACTCAGCCATAGGATGGTACAAAGAGCTGATCTTTTGCTCTTTTTTAAGAAGCAGAGGGATGCTTGGAGGGAGACGATAAGATGCAGAAAGGAGCAGGCAGTAAAATATGCCTTTTTGTTTGTCTGCCAGTGTAGATATAGCACAGAGTGGAACATCCAAGTTCTGTATCTAAATTCTGTTGTTTTGTAAATGCAGTTTGGAATCAGCAGATTTTCTCCATCCAGAGGCGTGTCCAGGCAGAATTTTGACCGGGGTCAAAGTGGGGCACCGCCTTGGTGGGGTCAGTGCCCTGGAAGAGTATGAAGAATGTGCACATAAAAGCCGCCAGTGGTTGATTTTAAAGGGATATTCCAATGTAAAATTAATTTAGGGTCATCATTTCTTCATGGAAATGCAATCAGACCAAGACGCTAAGGCAGAAGAACTACCGTGTCTGCAGTGCAAAATGATTAATATGGTGATTATTACTACAAGGAAATGATAAAGAAATGATCATAAATGTTCTTCCTTGGGCTGCGTCACCCCACCTCAGTCGATGATGGACTGGTCAAGGTCTCACTACAAACAAACGGCTACTGGAAGAGAGTTGGTGAGTTGTGTTAAGTCTCTTTGCTAAAGAAATTAGGCAAATCTAAAAAGATGTTTGGTGGCTAGTACTTTGGCTGGGACCCTATATGTACTGTTGATGAAGTTAGGTTCTGTTCTGAGCATTATTTGTGGCTATAGAGTGGCGTTTTGGTTGCTCTCTGTATTACTATCCTGCGGTCGTTACTAAAGCTGGTATAGCTAGAGAAATAAGCAGTCAGCTACATCAATCTCTCGAGGGGGTGTCTAACTCGGTGTTATGGTGTGTTTGACACAAAATTAATTTGACACCGGAATATCCCTTTAAAAGACATTTGTCCAAAGTGCTCTTATGGCCAAAAATACGTGTACCAGCCGTGTTTTAGTACCACAAAAGTGCAATATGACAGAAAATGACAAAAAAATTGTGCAGGTGTTTGCTTGCTCTGCGTGTCGTGTCCTACAAAGTTGATGTTTGAAGTTTTTTGTTTTTTTTTATATTCAAATAAAATAAAATAAAAAACAGCTAGCAGCCTTTTGCAGCACAGTCCAAATAGTTTATTTTGACATTATCCTGCCTCTGATAGAGCAAATTTCCTGTTAAGATCAAAATTTTTAAGATGGCAACTGGGGTGGCCATCATTTTTTTTAAGGGGGCCCTTACCTCTGGCTGCCCCTTTGGATACACCCCTGCATTTCTAATAAGGCTGAAGACATTTTTCACATTTGGGGTTAACATGTTGAATATAAAATACATACAATATTTCAAATATCTGCATTATCTTTACATTACAGTGCAAAGCATATTCATCTTGATAGTTTATTACAGAAAGCGACAAATTCAATAACTGTTGCGAGATGCTAACAGTGTCTTTTTTCTCTTCATCTTCCAAAATTGACTACTTTTAGAAAGACATCTATGGACCGTTTATTATGTTAATGACAGTACAAGCCATCCAAATGAACACATATATGTGCAGTAGCCTGAAATAAGTTTTTAAAAAGTCATTAATAATAGTTTATCTTCTCCAAGATGTCAGAGCGGGTCAAGATTAATGATGGAACAGCTGGAGGATGAAGCAACTGCAAATTAAAGGCTAATAAGTACAAAACAAACAATTGATATGCAACAACAGTTGCTACTCTGTTGCCCATTGTTCAAAAAAATAAATATTCACGCATCTCACTTTTGATTTATGCTCAGCTCCGTCTTATTTTAAAGCTCCACTTTGAGAATCAGAGCACACAAATCTAAATCTGCAATGACAGGCTGCAGTCCATCACAGACAAAGACACAGACAAAAGCTCCATTCAAATCCGCCCTGTCCATTAAAGGGGCATTTCCAGTGAGAAGAGGTCACATTCCTCCATCTTACAACTAATGGCTGGCAGAAGATGATGGCAGAGCCCACTTCAGGCTTCTTCCTGCTGGTATAATGAGGGCGCTGGTTGAAGGCTGTCCTGGGTGAGACCCCGCAAAGCATAATGAACGATTCTGTCTTCTATCACTGCTTCACATCACATGAGATCATGTGGAAGTGGCTGCATGAGGACATCAGCGCGGTATCGTGCAGCGAGGGGCCACTCTGCATCTCATTTGGGAGCGAGGCAATTTGCAATCAAGTGAAAGAAGATAATGCAGATAAACAGGATACATTTCCATTTTTACATGTTGCGTCAAAAGGGTCGAATCGTGTTTATGAGGCTGATTTGACATGAGATTACCACAAAAGCAGGACATTCAGACATGTTTTCATTCAGTCTTCATTCTCTCTGGCTATCTTCCTTTGTGACTGCACACAACAAGGGCAGCAAGGAGAGCTGACTCCTGCAAATACACGGCTGTTTTTCACAAAGACAAATCTGCAGCAATCTTTGTAGAAACCCATAAGGTCATTTGACAAAACCTCTCTAATCCTTAAGATCCGCATTGCCCAAGGGTATCCAAATATTTTTTTTCATACCGATGGGGGGAAAAAAAAAAGAGTCTTTGAAGGTCCTGGAAAAACCTTCATAACAGCGCTAAGTGTTGTTGAATAACCTTCAGGGTTCTTGAAAGATTGCCCTGGATTTTTTTGTCCTTCAGAAAAACAGATGTTGCGCTTTCTAGCTTGAATGTAATGCTCGTACGTGGGAGAAACAAAGACAGCTGAACGGACATCTGCAGACATGGATGTTTCAGTTCATCTGCAGGACTGTCCCCGGTCAGAGTTCACTTTATCCATCCATTATACTGTCATCATCTTCCTCCGCTGTCACTCATTCAGCTGCTGCTCCTATGGAGAATCTGATCCAAAAGTCTCTGCAATGAGAAATGAAAAATTTAAATGATTAAAGCATTAAATGAAAGAGTTGTGTTGTTCTGCTGAATACTAGCACGGCTGTGACGACTTCAGCTACTTTGATTTATGTGCATTTATCTGTACGACTCTATTTACATTCACACACGCAACTAGTGAAAAAAGGATCCTGCTGACAGCTGCTTTGGTGGACTGATGTAAAAGGGATTCTACTTTGCATAATCACTCGCTAAGTCAGCCTGTTTTCAGTTATACACTACATTACAGTAAATTCATGATGAAGTCTGAGGTCCATTGGGATTCTAAAGAGTTGCAGAAAATGACAGCAGCCCCCGCACAAGGTCTTAGTCACTTGTAGTCTGTTGGTGCTTTCTTTTTGCTCAATCAAGCCTTTAGCATACGTGACGCTCAAACCCTGTTGCTGTTTGTGGTTATTTTGTGGTTGTTTCTATCTGAAATAATATAGAAAAAACAAATATTTATCATATTTCAATCTAGTTATTTGTATTTGTTAAAAAAAAAATAAGTGGCCAGATTACCAGACGTCAGATTGGAGGTCACTATCACCAAACCCCCATCATCCAGGTCTCCACCCCCCTGTGTTGTTGTCTGCCACAGCAGCAGTGTAGGTGAAGCAGCTGTGTGTGGGCACCCACACTGTCTGCATCTCGGCTGAATGGTGGCACAGCACTGTAGCTGCTGCTTCTGCGACTGAAGGGCCTTTTGTTTCAGGAGAAACACAGGCCTCATACACTCGACACAATGACACTGTTCACGTTTTTTTTTCTCCATAATGAGAGCGAGCGAGAAAGAGAGAGAGAGAAATAGAGAGATTCAGGGCTGCGAGGAAGGAGAGCGAGTCGAATTCCTCAAGCAAATCAAACTTTGTTTTGTAACTGGTGACAGTTACTGACTATGTGATAAACAACACCTAAAGCACCCACTGCACAGGCTGAAATGTTTTTCTGCTAAAGATCAGGCTCTCTGATCAACTCAGTGCAGAAAATAAGGAAGTATGAAACAACGGCGACCTCTGCTGGAAGGATAAACTCACTGATCTGAAAGCAGGGACAGGAGGGTCTCTTTAATGTGACATAAAAAAATATATATGCTAGAAGAAAACATTTATTTTAAACGATGCATTTAATACAGAAGCACAAAGTCAAACATGACCTTCATACTTCTGCATAGATACTACCAGCAAATGTTACAGAAGCCATGAGAGACAAGAGAAAACAATATTTGGGTGCTTTTTGCCTTCTTGTATTATTACCCCAGAAAACTCATTCATAGTTACTTATTTTTGTGCTTGTTTTCTGTTTGCAAAATTAAACTTGATAGCGAAGTCGTAGACATGACAGTAATGACACCTGCCAACATATAAACACAGACTGCACTGATCTTGTCAAAATCCCCTTTGCATGTATAGTATGTTATCGCAACCTAGTCTAGGTCTGAGTCTTAAGATATCGGTATACCTTCTTTTTAAACATGTTTACTGTTTACCTTGTAATAACAGAAGGAAGACTATTCCATATTTTCATACCTCTGAACATGACAGTACGCTGTCCAGAGTTAGTATTGGTGAGTGGAAGTGTGAAATAACCATTTGATGCATGCCTTGTGTTGAAATTATGACCATTACGACTGAACAGCAATTAATTAAACAAAACATTTGGCCTTTTATACATTACAATTTGTCTGAAGAAGGAAAGCAGAGACACAGAGACACGTAATTCCCCATAAGTATCAACCACAAGTGACAAAACAATCAGGGGAAGGTCTTTAATTATCTTTAAATAATATAAAAATAAGACCTCCTCCTTTGAAAAAACACCACAAATGTGAGCCCTATGAGAGGGGAAGAAGATGCTAATGAGTAAGAGTTCATTAGAGAATAAACATCAGATTCGCTTGTAAGTTATTTATTGTAATTTGTCCCAAAGCAGCATCCAGAATTCAGTTTTGTGTATCAACAATCCTCTTTTTTTTCCTGGTGTAAACTTCACTTAATATCCTTTAAATTTAGTCTCATATGACCGACTCCACAGTGGAGCTAAATGGAGTTGGTGAGCGCCGTGAAGCCATTACTTTCAGCAGCTGTACTGCTGTGAGGACAGAAATAGCAGCATTATTTCTACAGCCATTTAGCGTTGCCCATTACTGCAAAATGTCTCAACCTTTGCGAGGTTTAATTGAGCTTGTAAGAGAAAGGTGTGTTATTACTTGCTCAATTGCGTGTGGGTCATATACACAATTAATGTTCTGCTCAGTGTCTCAAGCTTGTTAGAGGACTTGTTAACACTGTGGCACACTGCGCTCAGGTTATTTGATGTAATTCCATGGTGGATAATCTTCCTGCCTCCTTTTTTTCTGCCTTTATAAATCCTTCTGTTTAAATAAATGTGAGAGTGTTGTTATCTTGTTGTTTTACTCACCATATGTGCATTTGAAACACTGTTTCTCTCTGCCTCTCTCACTCTATTTGATGTTTACATATTTGAATATTGAAACCAAACATTTCATGCTAGTTTTACACCAGATGGGAATCATGAAGATGGGATTTTTCATTTAATTTTCATCATTTAGGACACAAGTTCCACAAATTCAGTCTGACGAATTTGGTGTAATATAACTCAGAGATCTGAATTTTTAAAGTTCCCATGAGGAGATTTATGGAACAGACTGAATTTAACACTAATACATTTTCCTGACAATCAGCATCAAGACTGACGGTTTATATTTTGTCATTTGTTATACTTGAAACTGGTGCAAGGGTGGTAGGTGTCAGTCATTGTTAAAGAAACAACCCAGTTTTTACAACTTCAGCTTAAAATATTAACACTAAATATGAAATTTGACTGCCAAAAGTCAACAGAATTAGATTTTTCAAGGAAAGACACCTCATGCATATAAACACTCCTGAAGACACACCTGTTCACTTTAGCTTTTGGGGAAGTATAGCTACTTTTATTGGGTATTTTATTTGTGTGCTATGTTTATCTATATTGTTGTTTTATGTTTTTATATTATGTTTTTATTGTTTTTACTGTCTCTGGCTATTTTACTGTAAAGCACTCTGGTAGGCCACTGGCTGTTTTTAAACGTGCTATATAAATAAAGCTGACATTGACATTGACATAAAAGATAAGTTAGATTAGGACTGCTTTGTCAGTAGGGGCACAAAAATCGACACAAAACAGGAGCTTTAAATGTGGGATTAAATAGGTAAAATTTGCGTAACTTCAAGTAAGTGAGTTGAATCAATGTATCTACACCTGGACAGAAAGATAAGAAGATTACCTTTTTGAAAAGTTCAACTCGCTGTTTGTTTGTCAAAATGACTTCTCTCTTCCTCTCCTCCTCTTTTTTCTTCTTCACCTCTGCAGATATTCTGTAAGAAAATCAGAGTTAAGACTTTAAAGAGTTGGATAAGCTGCAAATAAAGAAGAATTGGTTGAATAATAATAATTATTATGATACGGCAGCTATAAAAACAAGAGTTTTCACAGTGATTTGGCAGAAAAGTTGATATAAGAACAGCATATAAGCACCCCATAAGGAATAAAGCATGGCATATGAAACATAAGGCCAAGATGAATCATCTTTTTACATTCACAAGAATTGGCAACCAAGAGCTGAGATCCCTAGCGTTACCTGACTGTTAATTACTACATTTATTTATGTATTCAAACTATGCTATAAATATAAATCTTCAGTAAACATCTCCGTCTAACATTTCCCCCTGAATCAATAGATGGTCCGGCCAAAAAGGGTGATGCGGAGATGAAAAGAAATCAAACATAAATGTGTGAATTTCTTGCCAGAGAAACAAGAGCGGCTTGTTTTGCGCGGAGATGTTGGCGATACCGGCTTTGCCTCACTTGTGAAGAAATACACGAGATAAGAATAAACCTGCCTTCAAAGGGGAAGCCTGACAGCGTGCCAAGATTGAGATTGAGATGGAACTCACCGCTTGGATCTGGGCTGCATCTCTTTCCCGGCAATAGCTTTATCTCTGGGTTTCAAAAGGTTATCTGGAAACAAGAGCACACACACACACGCACGCGCACAATCACATACAAATACACACAGACAACACTAATTGAGCTGCACTCTACCCAGAAAAGGCATGTATTCAACCTTCTTCAATATATTTTCATCAAATTAAAAAAAAGACAAGTATGTACCAACATTAAAAAGATTAAAAATAGTGGATTTTATCATAATTTATAATCACTGGAAACTGTATCTGTTCTTGACCTGTTAGTGTATGTTCCTCCCTCGGCCAGTAGAGGGCAGAGAACACTACTAAATCTCTGTCACATATCTCCACAGTGTACTCTTGATTGTACACTGAGAAGCCTGGCTCTCTAAATCAGACTGAACACTGCACCTAGAGCTTAATGATATTTGAAGGTCAGATAAATATTTCTGCTGGAATCCAATTCTTGCAATCATCCTAAAACCTTGTAATTCAATAGAGGAACACTTTAATAAAATATACACGATGAAACCATTTGTGTCGAATCAAACATGATGTGACTTTTATTATATTTGGTCACAGCTGAGCCCGATGTGCCAGAAAAATGTGTCTGAAAAGTCCTTTTAGTTTGATTTCAGTCACCAGCCTTTGTGCTACATTAGTTTTATGAGTTTTTAAAGCTCCTGTGAGGAGTTTTTGATTGGTTATGAAACAGGCTGAAATAAACTGTGATGTATCTCAGATGAGGTAAATGAGACCATCAACGGCAAGATTCACAATTTCTCTATTGTGACCCATCGTCTGTATAAATTTCATTGTCAAATTACAACAAGAGAAGATTTTCTGTCAATTAACAACTCTTTAAGAGGGACCAGGCAAAATTAGCAATAGTGTAAGGGTTACTGCTTTGTCCACAGGGGGCGCCAACATCAACACAGATAGAAAGTTCCAAACAGGAGCTTTAATCTATTGACCTATCCCTATGTTATTATGCACCCAAAGAAAAACTCTCACTTTTGGTGTTTGAAGTAGTTTTACAGATATGTTTGTTTTCAGTTATGTACTTTTTAAAGCTCCCATAGGGGACTTTTCAATTGTGTTGATTTTGGGACCACAACTTTACAAAGCAAACTGTGTTTTTTTTGTTTCGTCCTGTATATGAATAATGTTGTTTTTTTCTATGACAAAACTGGTCAAATTTATCGAAAGTTCACAATTGTGGTAAAATAAAGGCAGTTTTTTTTTGCAATAAATCCCCAATAAATAACTATTCAGTAATAGTGAACTTCTTGCTTATGCACTGATTTGCTTTTGTAGATACTAAAGAGTCATCAAAATAAGATTTTGCCTGTTTCATACCTGGTTGAAAATACCACACAGGAGCTTTAAGTCTTTCCAATTTTAACCTCTACTTTTCAATTATTGCTCATTTTCTCCATCTGTTCCTCCTTCATACAAAAACACACAAGTTTCTATTAAAGGAACTGTATAGATGTATTGTGTTGAGCCGTTAGTTGCTACTTCTGTAAAAGTTTTAGGGTTTAATAGAGGATTTCAGAGGATAACGTGACAAATCAAGTGAAATATATACATGAAAATGTTGTTTTATGTCTGAGCTTTCCTAAAACAACACACACTGGCTGACTCCCTCCTCTTTCTCTCTGCTCTGTGTCTGTATGTGTGTGATTGGTCATGTGGCAAACCACTGCTCAGCTGGGATGGGACAATGGGCAGCACAGTAAAAGAGAGAGGTGAGAATAGCTGCTGGCTCAATACCCTTCTGAGCTGCGGGCCGGGTGCTGTGGACTCTCCTCTGCCTTGGAGTAGCTCCTGACCGGGGGCCTCTCGAAACCGCCAGCTCCTTTCTCTCCTGAGCTCTCCGCTCCAGTTCTCGCATCCTGCCCTGGGAACGACTGATGAAGTCTGGTCTGGACCTCTGCAGCGCTTCCTGCCAAAAAGACAGAGACAGATTTCTCTTCATAACAGAACATTAAACCTCAACTATACCCCATTTCAAACATGTCAAATCCAAGTGGCCCTAGACTAAAGCCCTGGGGGATCCCATGGTATACTTCAAAGTCAGCTTCGTTTTTGCTGACATTGTAGTTTATTTTAGAGGGAACCTACCTGAAGCGAGGGATCCTGAAAAAAAGATAAAACCTGTTTTGGCTTTCTTTAATACTTGGGTTTCATGGCTTAGAGGTTTCGAGTCTTTTTTTCTTACATAAAAGGGATATTTGGTATTTTTTGTTGGGGGAGGGGGTAAAGTCATAAGAATTTTGCTCCACCACCCAATCATGACCGTAGAGAATCTGTGCCTGGCTTCAGGAGGAGTCCACCTCCATGCACAGCCAGCATTAATTAGCTAAACTATACCTCTGACTCACCTGCAGAGAAATGGTTTCAGGTGACCTTTCAGGTTCCAGACTCAGTGGAACAAACTCAGCAGGAGGCCGTTCATGGTCCTGGACTGGGCTTTGATCTGGATGTGGCTTCATACATGTCCCCTTATCTGTCACTACAAAGGCAGAGGAAATCAAATAGTTTGCTTTTATTAACACCCAGCCGGCTCGGCCTCTCAAGCCTCCGAGTTCGCCATATTGCTGTTGAGAATGAATCAAATAAGCAGGGTATAATTTCCCTGTATGCTTATTGATTCAGTCAAAGATGCGGCTCAGGAAAGCAAGAGTGGAGCTTGCATTATTTTCAGGTAATTGTTACCAAGATCAATGTTTTATACGGTGAGAAATTAGGATTGCATAAGAGGGAAAAGGGGAAGTAATAATACCCGTATTTCCCTGAGGTGAAGCCGTGGAGTCCTTCTCCGAATTTCCATTTGGTGTCCTCTTCTTACTGAGCTGTCTTTGGAGTTTGATATTTGCAATGATGGCAGCCGCATTGAGGGCAAGCACTTCCTCTGGAGACTGATTTGAGTCAGGATCTGAAAGAGAGAGGACTTTGATGTTACTGAGGAGTTACCAAAATAGTGACACTGGCTGATATCTGCCTGTACTACACCACAGGCGGATTTGAAAATCTCATGATGTCCTTTTCGGAGGAAACACCGACTTTAAGTTGTGTTCCCTACAGGACTCTGTTATGAACTGATGGGAAAGTTAATGAATGTGATTAAAGAATAATTAAGGATTTCACAGAGATGAAAGCCATAATGAACAAAGAAAACTCCCTCCACATGTTATCAACCAAGAGGCATCTGCCCATGTTGATTAAAGCTCCTGTAAGGAACTTTTAGTAAATTACTAAACCACAAAAGAGGATAAGGGGCACATAAAGAGAAAAAAAATGAATACAGGAAGGAGATTAAAGTCAAAATTTTGAGATTAAAAACATTAAAATTATGTCTACAAAATTTAAAGTTTAAGATTAAAAATTTTACTTTTGAGATGAAAGTTGAAATTTCAAGATTAAGGTTGAAGTTTCTAGATTAAAAAAAAATCTAAATAATGTCTATAAATTCGAAACTTCGAGATTAAAAATTGAAATTTCGAAATTAAAGTCGAAATTTTGAGATTACAAAGTGTCGTGAATAATGTCGAAATTTCAGGATTAAACAATATAAATTATGTCTCTAAACTCGAAATTTTGAGGTGAAAATTTGTAATTTCGAGATTAAAGTTTAAATTTTTGAGATTATGAAATGTCGTGAAACTTGTCAAAATATTTAGATTAAAAATATTAAAAAATTTTAGATTAAAGGCAAAATTTTAAGATTAAAGTCGACATGAATAAAGTCGAAAGATCAACTTTTTAAAATTTCGTCTGTAATCTTGAAATGGAAATTAAAAAAATCTCCCTCCTTCAACTTTTTCTCTTGTTGTGGCCCTTTTCCTTTTTTGTATTAAGCAGACTGAAATGATCATTTTATGGAGTATTTACCTGACAGGAATAGGGTTTTTAAATTTAAGAGACAGGGTTCCACATAATATAAGTATTTATACATATTTTTGTCCCTTCGTTGCTATTAAAACGAACAAATACATCCTAAATATATCAGCTGCCACAGAGGATCCACACGCCAAAACTGATTCTCACACAATTCGTCCTTATTTTCGTCATGTTTAGCAGCTTGTGATTTCTCCTCCTCCCATGTGCCATCAGTGAAAAAGGAGGCGAAAATAGATTATGCACGCAAAGAGGTGCGTGGGAAAATGAAAGACGGTGAAAATGAGAAAGTGTCTATGGGTGCCAACGGGGGCCTAGGCGAATTGGTGATGCTATTTGACATTGGTGCGGTGTCAAACACACTTGAGGCTGTGGATAACGGAAGCACGATAGATCTAATTATGCCTATCAATAAGACATCAAAGGTGAAAGACATATCAAACCTGAGAGGTTCAGCCCCAGAACGCTCGAGTGTGTGTAATAACTTCAAGCTAGAACACACAAACGGCACAAGGGGAGAGTATATTTAGACATTTCTATCCTTTGAAAATGCAGATCAGAGACAAAGGGAGCCAGTGTGCTGACAAGAAAAATACCAGAGAGAGAAAAAAATAAACCCTACCAGGGGCCTTGATGAGAGTTAGACAGGGGGACGGTCTCCTCCCTGCACTCTCTGGCGGCAATGTTTCGTCTTTCTCGCTTCCATTTGGCTTGAAGGTATCCGCCTCTAGCTGACCTGGTTCCTTCGCTGCCGTCTGAGGGCTGTTGAAACCACCGCTGTCTGAGTTCGCGGGGTTGATGTTGGTCTCTAGTGGAAGGCCAAAGCTCCATTTCCTGGCAACTGGCTTTGTCACATCATTGTTGCTTGTTGCAGAGTGTCCAAACACATTGCCGTAGCAGCTCTGTGGTCTTTGCGGCCTGTCCGATCTGTGTCCAACAGCTCTGGGAGAAACCTCAAAGGGAGCTGGTGCTTCTATAGCAGGGGGGTTGCTCACGAATAGATTGAGAGTGGATCTGTGTAGGGCTTTATTGTTTTTCTCTGGTTCTGAAGTGGATGAATCTGGTGATACCGAAGAGTTTGGCGCCTTGGCGGAATCGAGGTTGGAGTACGAAGGTGTGGCATTGTTTCCTGAATTGTCTCCTTGACTCCATGAGGTGTTATGTTTGTACAGTCCCTCTGTGAAGCTGTGTCTAAACTCTGGATTTCTTACCCCGACTTTGGATGGAGTGTAGCTCTCCCTGCGCTCTGTTACCTTGATGATCGTTGCCTTCCGTCTTTGGACGACTGTGTCCGAAGCATGGCTATCGGGTGGTGTCACTGCATTTTGCGTGTTCGAGGCAGGACTCGAAACCACCCTTTGCTCTGTAACTTTCACTATTGTGGCCTTCCTCTGCACCGTTACTTGCCTCGGGTTTGGGTCCATGGACTTATCAGAGGGTGTCGGGGAAGGGGATTCACATGAATGAGGAAAGTTCTTGTAGGTGTCCGACCCTGGTAAACTGGCCGACCTGCACACCTTCCTCGAGGAGATGGTGATGGAGGAGAAGCTTGTTTTGCTCTGAGGGACGATTGAAGTCACACTAGAGCCACTGTTGGTTTCACAAAGCGGTACTGTTGCCTTTAAAGGCTGAACACTACCAGTCCTATGCAAAGGAGTACACGGCTTGTACGTATCTGTACTGTTTGTGCCTTGTAGCAGTGTTGGTGGTTTGCAGAGATCAGCAGCAGTTGTTTGATGCAGAGGAGTTTGCTTTAGGCGCTCTGTGCTGCTTGTTTTCATCAGAGGGGACTTCCCACTGGGGTCCGAGCTGGTCTCCGTGGAGTGACTGCCTCCAGGGAAAGCAGAAACCCTGTTGGTATTCCAGCCTCTCCTCAGAGCTGGCCAGCCTACAGGTCTGTCGCCTTCATTAGCCAGAAAGCTTCGTTTCTCTGGCACCTGGATAAAAGAGATTCACTTTAATAAATATGCATAATTATGCTCAAAACCTCAGCCTCGCCCCCCTGTTGATGCAAATGTCCCTTGCTGAATGTTAAGTCATCAATCAAACAATGCCGTGCGCTCGTCTTGCCCATGTTTTTACGCTGTAAATATACAAAATGTAGAAAAACATCATTCAGTGCACCATGAGGAATTGACAGTATGACATCTCTCTAATACTTCATTTCAGCAGCAGGTCAGCTGTCTTGTATTCCTTCAGGGCTGTAGTGTTTGCTCTCTTTAGTCAGATGACTCTTCCCATGCTTGACACAGAGAATGCCCCAGCAGCAGTGAAAGCAGCAGCAAGCAAAGGCAGCATACAGCGTGACTTATCCCTCGCAGAATCACAATGAGACTCTATCCTCGACAGAAACTGAGAGGCAAAAGAAAAGCTCAGACTCCGGTCTTCAGGTTAAAGGACTGATAGTGTCTATGAAGCATGGAGGAGTGCTGATATTACCTTGTTGACAACAGGTCTGCAATGCAAAAACCCTTTAAATCCTCTATATATCAACGCAGCAGCATGATTTCTAAAGAAGAAGAATATGTTGGTATTTCTTACTTCACCGTTGAGGAATTTTATCAAGAACCAAACCTACAAATTACATAAATCCACTTTTAGAGAAACATGAGGGTATGACAGTACGGCTTTGAGAGTTAATGAAGGTTTCAGGCAGTTCAGTCCTGTTAGACCTGTTTAATCTTGAACAAGACAACAATGAGACATTGTTTGTCTTCTGCACAAAATGTCTGATTTTGAATTGCCTTGGGTAAACTCTGCAGCAAGTACGGAGCACACAGACCCTGACATCTGCGATGATAATGCTCCATAAAGTAAAGAAGTCTGACATCAGTCACTGTCTTCGTCTGGATCATGAGTAAACTCTCTTATTGCTTCAGTAACTCTTTCTGCATTCTGATGAGGTACAGCTTATAGAGGCTTTGACCTGTTATCTTCATCCTCTGATTTGTTAAGCCACTCTTTAAAGTTTGAAGAGAAGTTCTATCATTTTTCTTTCTCAACTTAAAGTCTGCAATCTGAAATCTTTTCATCTTTGATCCCTCGGACTGCTTTATCACAAATGTCTGTCATTTATGATTCCCTTTCAAATGATAGTTGGACTGTGGATAACAAGCGGTTATCAGGTGTCCATTATGTTCAGTGATTAAAGGGCACCCCGTAAACTCGAGACCTTGTTCCTCTGGTGGCTGGTCCAACTTCAAGCCACAAGCCTTGCTGTGGCCTGAAGTTGGACCGGTATATGACGCTCTCTCTATATATAAGAAAATAGACAGAGCACAGATACTAAAACTGTATAAGTCCATTCCAGTCTGTTTCAATTAACTCTCACTAGACATCTAGAGGCTGATCACAAATACAGCATCTAATTATCAACCGCCTGGAATAAAGATGGCCGCCTCTATTTAGCGGATTCAGCTACCAACAGAAACAAAGCTGCTTCAATGAAAACAACATTAAAACCATCGCTGTTTACCTTTGTTTTTAAGGGATTGGATCATCCCTGTGTGATAGAGAGGCTTCTGGATGTTGCAAAAATACACACTAAAAAGCTGACAGCCTCACAAAGTGAGTGGATTTTAAAGTAGGCCACTTTATTGCACCATCCTATTCTTATGACTTATGAAGTTAACACAACAGTATACAGAAAACTACAAGATCAACTCAATTCACTACTCAATCATATATGTAGGGCGATAACACGTTTTTTTGTGTGTGTGTATTTTTATGGAAAAACTTGTCAATGTCCAAATACATAATTTGCATTAATTAAAAAAACACTAGCTTCCTGTCCCCACACAGTCCAAATTAGTGAGTCTGACATTATTGCTGCCTCTGACATGCCAAATGACCAATTACAGGGTAAAGGGGTGTCACTGCGGTTAGCCAATCAGGTTTCAAGCAGGGCCCATTCCACCCCTAGCCACCCCTTTGGACACACCCCTGCCAGGAAGCAAGATTAACATTTCAAATGACACCTGACTTTTGAATTTAATGGACAAACATTAAAGTAATTCTTCGGCTAATAAGACCTTTGGTCACTGAGGTCTGTGAGTGTATCTCCAGGCCAGCACTGCAAATGTACCATGATTGGAAACAGGAAATACAGGCCTGGGTGTCAAAACACATAATACAAACACAGTGCTAGGAGAAGACTCAGCTTCGCTTTAGTATCTAGGCAAATACACGCTTACTCCCTGACATTTACATACCAAATATTAAATTATTAATGCGTTAAACGCAATCATCTGGAGACGTCATCAGTTACCTGTTTAATTATGTGGGAGCCTTGATCAGGTGTCTGCCACGTCTTCACACCCCAAGCGCTCAGACCGCTGTGACTCCTCTCCACCTCTCCATCTATGTATCAAGGCAAAACAAATGATCCACAGTCACACACCTCACAAGACATCCCCCTCTTCTCCCTCTCTTTATCGCTCTCAATTTTACTCTCACACACAGAAACAAGTCATGCATTCCTGTGACAGTGCAGCAGTGTTGACACTGTCAATAATTGACGTTGACACAGTAAAGTGAGTCTTGCACCACCCCGGAGCCACTTCTCCGCTTCCCCAGGAGACGCGGGGACTTGACTTGGTCTGCTTCTCAGCCCTGACTGATACTCTCTATTGCCACCCTGACTGCCTGCCCGCTTAGTCCCATCTCCACCTGCTGCAGTTACCATGGCGACTGGCTTTCACTTTGGGATAACCCTTGAATGCTGTGTGGGTAATCTGTGTTTTATTATTCATTTCAAGGTATAAAAACAAGGAACAAAGTGGGAATTTCTTCATTTCGCAAACGTCACTTAGGATGAGTCAGTGGTGCTATCCTCTAGTCTTTTTTAATACATTGTTTTACCTTCTTCCAACTCTATCCATCATATTTTGCTCTCTGTGAAAGGCCCCACACTAGCCTGAGCCCCCGCTTAAAGAGCTTCTCTCATTACCTCCAGCAGCAGAGCTCAAATGACCATTTTTTCTGGATCAACAGCAGGCTTTAATATCCCAGAGGGAAATAAAGAAGCCAGGCCATATGGCAAATACCCTGTGAAGTCCCCACCCTCCCAATTTATTCCCCTTCCTCATGAGTTTTATCTAAATAGTGAGCGTTAGCAGGGTGGAAATTGGCCAGCCTGTCTAAACATGAACCCTTGGAGCAGAAGAACCAATTCGTTATCATTTGCTCATTAACATTGGGCCATTTCAAGTTCGTCAAATGTGACTTTTATGGAGGGAGAGGGCATAAGTGTGTGTGCTGGAACCCGGAGTCTGATTAAAACTATTTTCCCAAAGCTTGTCAGCAACAACCAGACAGAGAGGGAAATCAAATGAAGGAGAAAAGGTGGGATAATATGCTAGCTGGAGTGTAACCAAGTCAATTCTTTCCAGCAAAACTGCCGTTCGCATTTTTAATAGCGCCATTTGGCTTCAGATGTTAAATTCAAAACATACTGAGAAAAGGACAGCACCAAAACAAGGAGTGCTTGAATGCTTTTGTGCATTATTGTGGTTATTGTTTTTTGTGTGTGTTTATTCGTCGATTGTCTTTCTTTTATTTATCATTCAGATTTTATCCCTGGATAACTTGTGTACCTGCTCCTGCATATTCTTATTATTCACGGCAAAGTGAGTTAAATCTGAATATTTATGACCCGTTTGATTGACGAGTAAATATTTTTGTCATTGTTCTTACAGCATCACTGGAAATATTTTCCGTCAAATAGAGAGTCGCAAGTTGTTCTTTGTTTGGATGTTATTTGTTACTCAGCGGCTGAACAGAATTCATCGTGCATACAAAACATGGCTCAGATGAGCTGTAGAAAATGGAAATTTTTACCAACATTTGAAACATACAGAGATAGTTTGTTAAAACTTTTAACAGCAACCTATATTTCCAAGAGCTTGTCTGTGTTGCGTATGAATTTCTGTTTGCTTTTACATTCCCAAACACATCTTTACTTTCTTTCACAGTTCCACTCGCTGCCAAGGATGGATCGCTTTGATTTCTGCGAGTTGCCCGAGCCCCGCTTGGATAATCTATGTGTAAACAAGGACGAGGTTTAAAGATCAAACCTCAGATCAAGCGCAGGAAGTGTAAGGCTGACATGTTCAAAGATTAAACGGGCTCTTTCTTCGAGTCTTCTTCTTATCTTTTGACCATCCAGATCTCTTTTTATTACTTTTTTTAAAGCCTAACAATGCCCTTTCACTTCACCGTGAATCCATCCTAAACACTGTGTTTCATCATTAAAGACCAGCTGCATTTGAAATCGACGTTTCTTTCTGGAAGAGGGGACGTTTAAATTGATCACTCATTCGTTCAGTGTGGAGTATGTTAAGGGGTGACAGGGGCAACGCTGCTGCAAGGAGCTGATTAGAGGCAGGTAAACGGTGTGACAGCCCTGAAATCAGCTCTTGTTCTACCTTAGACCTAACTCAGACCTCTGCTGTTAACCTGCAACTATGTCTGCTCCATGAAGGCTACCAAACATTAATTGAAACAGAACTACAGTTCAACTCAGGGTTATCTGTTATGTAAGAGAGTTACTGTATGTTATTCAAAGTATTGCTTTAAGGTAGACCTGGGACTCTTACATAATGATCACACTTGCATAATTGTGCATTTTTTGAAATAATGAGGGTATTTTTGACCTCACTCATTCAAAACGCAGCTGTTATACAAGTGACTGCCAACTGGTGAAACAAATAATACGTTTTCATACCATTTGGATGTATGGCTGTTGGTCGATTCCTCTGAAATGGAGTCGGAGTGATGGGTTGTTTCAACTTAACCTGCAAAAACAACACATTAGTTAAATTAAGAAACCATCAAGGAACACATTTAATGCCTTAAACAGTACAGTAATTGTCAGATGGCGCAATTTTGCTAATTAAACTGGTTTAGATTGATAAAAAATCTAACATTTGTAGGATAAACATGAAGCTAATCTTAGCATCTCAAAGGGCTGAACATATGAGAAAAGTAGCCAAAACATACCAACACTTTCAGGACTAACTAATCAACATGTTAAGTATTGTATTTTTTTAAACTTACATCTGCTCATCGAGAATTAGGCGAGAAGATTGATTTTATTTACATGTTCGTGAGTTAGCAAAATAGTTTGCAAATGTTTATGTTCTCAAAAATCAGAAGTACCTCAAAGCTAGCCTGTTTTCCTACGCTAACTAAACGAATCAAAAACCTCCAGAATTTTTATAAAATTGTAATATCCTGTATATTTTATGTAATTTCTTCCTTTTTTTCTTGCTCGGACTTAGATGGAAGAAGTGATTTCACATGAATTTAGGCTACAGAGCGAACATTGTCGGCGCAAAACTGTTAGCTTAGCCTCTCCAAAAGGCTAAAAAGATTAAAAGCTAGCCTGTTTTCCTACGCTGACAAAATGAATCAAAAACCTCAGGAATTTTCACCAAACGTGTCATATTCTGTATATTTCATGTAGTTTCCACCTTTTTTTCTTGCTAGGTCTTAAATGTAAGAAGCAATTTCGCATGAATGTAGGCCACGAACACTGTTAGCTTAGCCTCTCAGAACGGTTAGCTTAGCCTCTCAAAAAGGCTGGAAAGGTTAAAGGTGAGCTAGCTTCTGTTAAAGGTGGCCTTTCAAACACTTTAAAAGATAAAATGTAAGGATAACTAGATTCTTGTTGGCTGTGCAGCCCTGAGAGAGTTGAATATTTTCCCATCTTACTCTCTTCAAAGGCAAAATTAATTTAGAGGTATTCCCCCCAAAGTTTCTGTTTCATTAAGCATAATCTCTCCGAACGAGGCCCCACAACAATAAAATCAATCCTGATTTAGTTACTGTTGTGAAAATCCCAAACTGCTTTGATTTCATATTTTCTTCCAGTTAAGAGAACTAAAAGATGAGGTTTTGTGTACCTTCTCAGATGAAATTCTACAACAGCACAGCAACTTATTGATTTGGATTCCCATATCATCAGTTCACTGGGTAATAGAGCCACTGAAATGTCTCTGTCTGTACATTGACTTGCATCCTCTTAGGGGCACAAAGCTCAGCCTCTGCTGCTGCAGCTTCAAATGAGCCATAAACCTTTAGAGAATGCAAGTAGTTCCTGCCGAATAAGCTGTTTTCAAAGGGAGCCAGAGCTGTGCCTTCTCCCTGGGTAACTGAGACTTGACTACAAATGTCTCACTGAGGTACTGTGCATGTTGTAGCCTGCCTCCCCTGGCACAATGCAACATCACCTCTATTACACGGCATTTCAGACTTGAGAGGCTTACTGTTTCACTGCTATACAAGAAGCAGAATCATATAGTCTGTGGTAATGTCAGTGCTAACCCGAGGTGAATCAGTTCAGCGCCTTTGTTATAAGGTTGATACCCTTCAGGACGGGTGTAAATGCTATTCTCTGAGGAAAACATAGTCAATACTCCAAAGCTGATCTGCTATTACAGGCCTTTTTGTGCACGTACAAGGGCAAAGTTTGTCTGAGTTTAAAATATTTATAATCTAAATATAGACCGGAGGATAAAAGACATTTCAAAGCTTCCCAAAGGGTTCAAAAATAATTGCTGTAAGTGTTTTACCTGGCTTGCTGAGTGGTCCCATTGCTGATTTTGCTTGCGAGTTTCAGCCATCACTACTTTTCTTTGTATTGGCAGCCAACCAATTCTAACCGGAGCAATAGAACTGAGGTGGGCCTGCTCCTTCTTTGGGACCTGCATGATATGAGCTTTCTCCCAGCTTCCTCTCCGCTCCGGACGGGAATAAAATCCTGTTTGGAGTGACTCCTGACTGCCAAGCGAACTCTCACAGAAACTTGGACTCCCACATGAAGATGAACCCCTGCTGAAGGAAGGAGCCCAGGAACGTCTGGTTGTTTCTTTGTCCAGAGCTGGCATGGAAGTGGTCCGATCATTGAAAGCGGGAAGCTGATCACGAACTTGGGTCCTCAGGAAGCCGCTTTGCATCCTCTGGAGGTGCTCCAGCCAGCCATCCAGGTGCCCACCTTCAATGGCACTCTGAGGTCGAGTTGGACGAGTTGGATGAGAAGATCGCGGCAAAACCTCCCCGTCTGATATCAAGCTCTCCCAGGAGTACTCATCCCCGGACTTCCTCCAGCTCGGGGCTCTTCGAAGGTGGGCAGCTGGCCTACGGAAAGTCATGTCTGCGGCGCTCGGGTTACTGCTCGCAGCTCTCGAGTTTCAAGCCCTTTGCGCTGGAGGTATCAATGAAAATCCCCCTGGCTCATTTGGACCTCTTACCATGAAGCATGCTAGAAATGTACTCCAAGGAATAAGTAGCTAGAAGAATGCCGGCGCTCATATTTGCTACAGATCTGTTATGAGAAAACATCAGAATAGTTAGTTCAAGATCACAGGACGACCTACAGCTTAATGCTCTCATTAAAACACTCTAAAGTGCTGCTGACACTTCTACTTACCAGCTTCTGAGAAATCATCCTTGCCTCCAACTTCCCACTCTCCACAGTTGTTGGAGTAAACACTCTCTGTCTTGATATAAACTAGGTGCTAGTGGGTACTGTCTCCAGTCAGGCATGTAGCAATGTGAGAGATGCTTTGGTGAACAAAAGAGTTACTCAGCACAAGCCTCAACATCCAACCCGGAGAGGGGAGATGGAGGGAGACAGAGAAAAGAGGGCGGGTGGACTGAAGAGAAAAAACAAACACTTGTGGATGCAACGCTTGACGTAATAAGATCTCCATTTAGACAAAGAGCACATCAACATTCAGGGGTTTAATTATTAGACCGTCTAATTTGGGGGTTGGAGGAATCAGAGGCGACACGCAGAGTTTGAAAGAGCAAATCAAAACTTCTTAAAATTCAGGCGTTCGAAAAGAATGATCAAGCATTACTAACGAGCAGATTATCCATGTTTCTCATGAGTCACTCACCGCTTCAGAAATCCTCTTTGTTCAGTCGCTCCTGTTTCTCCTTCTGCTATCCCGTGGTTGGTGGCTGATGATGCGTTTTCTATCCTCAAGACCTTGTTCGAGCCATGTGACTTCTTGCGAGACTTTCCCAAAAAAAACAGGCCTGTGTCCTCTCGGTTAACAAACTGTGACCCACATGATGTCCCGGAGAGCATGAGTGAAGGGTATTTAGAAGACACAGCCAGGAGCAAGATCCAGCATCAGATATTCAAGGAAGTTAAACACAGACTCGCAAAGATTCAACTTCTCCTATGAAAGCATTGGCAGTTGCTTTGATGTTTTAATGAATTTCAGTGTTTCTCAGCGGATTAAAAGTCCCCAGATGTCTCACTTTCAAAGCAACTTCAGTCACATTCGGTGAAATCACATTTTCAGAATGTCTTTCAACGGTACAGATAAGACAGATATTTTAAATATCACTTGCTGTGACTTGCTTGAAGACACCTTATCAAGCTGAGAAGCTTCATGCAGAGGGAATATGAAATGATGTAGAGCAAATTGCTGCCTTTTGTCTGCTCTGCTCGGGTGATAGCATCAAAACAAATCAAAAACTCAATTGAGAAAGGCCGGCCTCGCAATGAAGTTCAAAAGAGATACTGTGACTTCTCTTTGGTGAGTGTGTGTCTATAAACAGCGGTGCCCTCTGCTGGCGAGGCTATAACATAACAAGCTGGAGCAAAGGGGGGCATTAGGTCATCAGTGCAGGAGACACAGTCAAAGTTGAATATGAATGTATGATGCAACATTTCAGCTGCACTCTTGCTTTTGGATCATCTTTGCTTTGTTTCTACATTTCTGTGTTTGAAACAAATTGATAAATAAAGTTTTTTTTACGCTTTTATCACAGCAACAGCTAAATAAAACATGATTTAAATAAATGAAAAAGCTTAGTTTCAGTGACATACTCTGACCACTCCTGGTTGAGATTTCTTGAGTGCTACTCAAAATCACTACTAAAAAACACAGTCTGTGTGAAATGCGTGAACTTTTGACTTGTTCCATTTTTGGCGCCCCCTGCAGTCTCAGTGCCTTCTGTCAAGAAAGTCTAGTCCTGATGAATTGTTACAACCTAATTTATCATTTATTGTGAATATTTTATGTTGCAATTTGTTGACACCTACTCCCTCACAGTGTTTGCAGGCATTAAAAATTCTGATATATTCGCTGAAATCATCAGTTAAATTGCTGATGATCTTGTTTACCTTTGAATATCATAATTTAGACATCAATATAAATCTTTGTGTACTTCATGGACATGTAAAAAATCCTTCAAAGGAGCTTTAAAAATAACAAGAACATAAAAATTAGGCACTGCATGGTAAACCTTTAACATCAAAATCAAAATCTCACACAGGAGTGGTCAGAGTCTGTCACTGGAAATCAATCAGATTTTGATCCAGGCCTGGGTCCCACTATACCAAGATTTTAAGACACCAGAATATATTTATAGAGCGTTTGCTTTGCATTAGAATTCAATGCAGGGTGAGAGAAGGTTGAGGAGGGTGCAGGGTTGAGGTAAAGGGATGGTCCAGAGACAGTGCAGGGCAAGGACAGTACAGGGACAGTGTAAGATTACGGAAAGGAGAGCAATGGGGAAGAAATATGAGAAAAGAGAACAAACAATACTAAGGCCCACAACCCTGAGAGGGTAAAAGGTTGGGTTGGACTGTTACTGATCATTTGTTTTATGCCTACTTTGAAAATATGTATCAGACTACTTTTTGATAACCGGTAATCTGATCACTCTTACAAGAACAGTCTACAGTCGAGTAATCTGACTACTTTCAGATAACATATAATTTCATGAAGCGAATTTAGAAAATGTGTATTTCTTCGAGAAGACATATTTCCATATATATGGCGAAGTCTACACTTCACTCTGTGCATATGGTAAAGTCTACACTTTTGGACAAGGTCAGAAATATGACTGAGTATCAATAGAAAACTGTTCAGGAGACCAAACCCATGACTTTCTAATGTTTAACTTTGCTTTTTAGATAGCTAATTAGAAAGCAGCCACAAAGCCAGCATATTATATCGCTTTTTCTGTTCTTACACCAATATCAGCCAGACTGTGTTTATTTTAGGGCATGTTTTTATCATTTATCCCTCTTATCAGCTTGTACTATAGTTATCTCACATTTTCTTAGTTTTTTATCCAAATTTCTATGCATGTGGTGAAGTCTACACATTAAAAAAGATCAGAAATATGACTGAGTACTGATAGAAAACTGTTAAGGAGAACAAATCCCATGATTTTCTGATGTTTAACTTTGCTTTTCCACATCTACGGATGTTTTTAGAGTGGAAGCTTTTCTTATTTCTCTTCAAATGAGTGTAATTTATCAAAATAAGGCAAAACTATGAACTAGTTTACAGCCAAGTTTGCAGTGTGCAAATGAAGGCAGTCTGTTCTTCCTATTTCCAGGTTTCAGCTCTCACCATTCCTCCTGCAGCAGCTCAGTCTCAGTCTAAACAGCTGTGGGAGACAGGCAGGCAGGACTTTTACTGTACGAACGCCTACAGGGAGAGAAAAACTTGTGTTCCCTTCCTCCCCCTTGCGGAGCGTCCTGTCACTGGTGGAAAATGGCTGCTCGGAGTACTGTCCCAAAGCTCAGAGCAAACTGAAAAAAAAAAGTCCACACTAAAGCTAACAGGTCACGTCTGGACCTTTTCTAACCGGATAAACGACAACTCGGGGAATCCTCGACACGGATAATGTCTCGCTGGGTGCCCACAAAGAAAGAAAAGTATGGTGTTGGTACGTAACAAAACTTGCATGCTCCATCGTTAGCTCAGCCTAGCTGTGTGTGCTCTCAGATTGAACAAGTTTGAGGAGGATTTTGATTAGGAAGCGCGCGGATGAATTAGTCCCTCACGCGGAGATACTTAAGGAGTTCGAGTTGTTTCCACTGTTTGTGTGCACATGTCGGGAATTTGCCCGCTTGTTTGCATGAAACGCAAAACAAGGAATGTGTGTCTATTGTGAGGAAGAGGATTGTGTGTGTGAGTGTGTGTATGTGTGTGTGGATTGGGAATTGTTAGAGGCGCGCCTAGTTATAGCGCTGTTTCCTGTGTTATGGGGCCTCCGCTACAAACTACCCAGTTAGTGCGCAAAACTATGAAGTTTGGTTAATCGTTCGTGTCTAAAGCCGCGTCTCATGTCCAGAGAAATCCTTTGTTGTTGGTCATTTCTTCTCACTTCCTTAAATGCTTTCAAAGCCTGGCCTGAAAACACTGTCCCGGTTAGCTCCCACTCTCTCCTACAAGGGATTATTTAACCACAAACTCAGATTACAGCATTATATAGAGGATCTGTTTCATAAGACACTGAAGGGTTTTAATTAGAAAGCTGCAACAAAGCCAGCATATTATATAGCTTTCTCTGTTCTTACACCAATATCAGCCAGCCTGTGTTTATTTTAGGGCATGTTTTTATCACTTATCCCTCTTATCAGCTTGTACTATGCAGTTATCTCACATTTTCTTAGTTTGTTATCCTACTGTCAGGTACTTTTTTCACATACTGATAGCCTGTACATCAAGTACTTAAAGAACTTCTGACTTTCACTTATTTATTTCAAGTTTTCTTTCTTATCTTTCTATGTATCTTTGGATAGCGATATCAGAAATCCCCCCTAATGCTAAAAATGTGGTATCTGTGGCTAGTCTACCTATTAACAGCTATTAATTGTCCCTCCTTCCGAAACAGGACTAGTTCCCCCTACTTCAAAGCAGTCATAAATATTGAAGATACAGTCGGCAACAAGTTATACAGCAGCAAAGAGGAACTTAATTCAAGTAAATAATCTCCAAAAGTCAAAAAATTGGGGGGGTTTTAATGTAGGTCGAAGCCATTTGCCATGTAAAGCAGGAATTTAATCTCATTGACGTCACCTATCTGTTTTTAGAGTTCAGAAGAACATCGTCAGTGGTTGCCATATTGGAAATGCTGACTAAACTTAGCATTGGTCAAAGTAACAAGTGGCAAAGGCAGAGTCAGAGTGGGCCTATTAACTTGGTAACAGCTACAGTTAACCCATATATCAATCAAACCAACCATGCCAAACTCCTTTTCAAAACTAACAAATTCTACAAAATTAAACTTTTGCACAGTTGGAGTGGAAATTAAAGTGAGCTATACAGACTAAAGTTGTTCTTTGAACCAGGTTTTAAACCTGTTTGTTTTTGCTTTAAATATGGACTTGTTTGAATAGATGTGAATGATGCTTCTTGTACTTCTGCAGCCAGCCCCTAGTGGATACAGAAGGAACTGCAGTTTTTAGTGCTCCCGCATAGGTTTCGTTTCTTCTGACTGAAAGTTGCTGCTCGGTCCAAGCTCACAAAATGTAAGCAATCAGGGGTTTTCCATCAAATATGTCAAGGATATTTGGTTGTATAGTTTGAAATTTAAGGTTAATAGGTAGAGCATATTCATTTTAAACCAGTGTTTTAAAAAATATCTTGTGGAGATAGTCTAATCAAATGTAAGAGGGACTGAAAAAATACAAGCAGACTCTAGTGGAGAAGACCTTATTAACTATCAGCACTATTAAACTCCTATTTTTTCATAGCTATTTGGCGTCAAAACAACAAACTAGTACATTAAATAAATGTAACATGAGTCTTTCTTAGCTGTGTTTACTTTAGCATGAAGGGGGTCGTTGGCTCTGTGAGAGATGCATACTGGTGGA